CCACTAGTCAGGGGCCCGATCTGTTTTGTTTACATCTGAATTTCCAGGGCCTAACAAAACTTGGCACACAGGAGCACAGGAAGGATTTGTTGAATGAATGAAATGGCACTGCTTTACTGTGCAAAGGGTTTAGTGAGAACATATTACTGGTCCTGTCCTACCCTAGGGCTTCAATAAACAGCACTTGAAAACGCAGCAAGATAATATTTTGGAAATCATAAACTGAAGTGTAGCTTTTCTCCCCCCTTGATGTTTGTTTTGTAGGTGCTGCAGCTGTTACCTTCAGCCCTCCACCATCAACTATTGTCACTCCCTGACTCTAGAGGGGGAGCACAGATATCACCTGTAACAAACAAAATGGAGTCTGTAACATCCACAGTCCAAGGAGTAGCAAGAAAGCCAAAGCACTTTTCGTGTGGTACTGCTCGGTCAAGAGAAGAAAGGTCTTATGGACTTCCAGAAATCTAGGCTTGGAAGATAAACAGGCAAAGCCTGAGTAACAAGGCAAAATGTTTATCCCCAAAAAACAGATAGGCTGAAGAGAGGCTCAACTTCTGAATATTTAAGAAAATGCAAATAAAAAATCGAGGAGATAAAAGTTGACAGCTATCAGAAAGGAAAATGTATGTATCTATATATACACACATACTGGGACAGGCCAGAATGGAACCGAACCCCTTGGGGTGAGGGGCCCAAACACTGGTACAGCCATTTTGGAGAGAACTTGGGCATTAATTGGGAAAGATGGATATGCATATCCTGTGACTCAGCAGCTCCACTGTGAGGAACACCTGGCCTGGAGAAAACCTCCCACCTGTGTCCGAAAAGACGTGCCTAAGGATATTCATGGCTTTTTCTGTGATAGCAAAAGACTGCCAGCATTCTAAACACCTACCAATAGGGGAGTGGATACCAATGAATTAGGGGCGTCTTTTCATGTCATAGAATTTTATTATTCTTAATCACACCCTTTCTCCATTCCCACAAGGAACTTCTGCCTCCTTCGGTAAACATAAAAATCTCATGGCTTCCTTTAATGTTATTTGAAATTTCAAAATACAAGTCTGCAAGAAATCCCTTCTCTGAAACCAGTGGGGACCAAATGTGCTTTGGAATTTAGGACGTTAGGATTTTATAAACATAATGTGGTGCCTACACTCTGTATCAGTGGTTCTCATATTTGAACATGAATCAGTCACCAGGAGGGCTTGCTAAGGCACAGATGGCTGGACCCCACCCCAGAGCTTTTTTATTTAATAGGTATGGGTTGGGTCCTGAGAATGTACCTTTTTTTTTCTTAATGGGGGAATTGGAGGAGGGGANAAAAAAAAAAAGGATTTAAATATCTACACAAGTTTAGGTCAACAAGTCAACTGCAATTCAAGTCAGCTCACAGTTACATGTAAATTATACAAAAGGTAAAGTTTGGGTAAATTATACGGTTGCTATGATGCAAGGCAAGGACTCCAGAATAAGGTAGTTCTAAAGATTTCTAAGTTGTGAAAAAAATGAGCTAATCCAGCTCAAAGGGATTCATTTTTGAGGTTATTTAACCCACTGGTTTCAACGGCAGACAGTGGGCAGGTGCTGGGCTGGCTGGATTCATTCATTCAACAAAGAGTCCAAAACCTGGCCCAGGGTAAGCCTTACCTTGGTAGGTGGCTGCTGCTTCTGGTGAAAGCTTGACTCCAAGCTGAGCCCAGTCAACAGATGTGCAGGAAGTGCAGAGGTTGCCGCCAGGGCCCAAGGGAAAATGAGCTGAGTGGAAGAAAGGCATTCTGGGTAAGAGTCCTGGCTCTACCATGAATTCACTGGGCAGTCGCTTCCCCTTCCAGCGTGTCCGTTTCCTGGTCTGTGAAACTCCGATTGTCCAATACTACCGTGTGTTTATGTGTGCATTTTTTTCCCACGTCCCCATGCTTTTGAGGGAAGTGACCTTTCTTTGGCCTCTTTTGTAAGCTCCCCAAAGAGCACTGGTGGAGCTGTTTGCAGACAGTGGGGGCCCCATCAGCGGTGTGGAGGGAGCACCAGATGTTTCTGGCTAGCAGGTGAGCTCAATCCTGTGATGCTATGCGTTTAAGGGTAACTAGTAGGGGCAGATGGGTTTCCATTTTTACATTCGGTTTAGAGAGAACCCTCCTAGCCCAGTGGCTCTCAACCTTGGCAGTACACAGGAATCATGAAGGGATTTAAACAGTGTTGGTGCCCGGGCTCTTCCCCAGACCATATGAATCAGATTCTGGAGGCGGGGCTGGTACTTTTAAACACACACACATACACACAGATCAAAACAAAACTCTCCAGGTGAGTTGAAAATGCAATGTGCAGCCAGGCTAAGAATCGCCAGCTAAGTCTGTGTTTCTCAAACCTTGGGAACCTGTGTTCCCAAGAATCACCTGGGGAAATAGAGGAAGGGTAAAAAAAATGCTGCTTCTTAGGTCCGTCCATTGTCCTCCTTTCTCATTCTTTGGTATGGCACGGGGTCTAGGAATATGCATTTTAACTGATTCTAATGAGTAAAATGTCTTAGCTAATGCCTCCATCTGCCTTGATGGCAACAACCTCATTCTCCTGGATCCCTTAAACAGGGTTTCCCAAACTCCCTGAGAACAGTCACCTGGCCCCACTTATTTTAAAATGCAGGTTCCATTTTGCAATCACCAATATAATAATCAGCTGAGGAAGCAAGGGGCCTCAACAGATGCTACAGCCACTGAGTGAAAAGCTGTTGGGTAACAGAATAGTCACATGGTTCAAAATATCAAGCCACAGATTGTTTACTAATTAAGAAGGGAGAAATGTACCTTTACAATTGAGAGACCCAACAGTTTCCATCTTAACCGGTGATCAAACCCACATCACCAAGAGTGGGACAACCCGATACCGTGGGCCTCTGATGTGATACAATCTGACGGATGTGACATCTTCTGTGTCATATTCTTGCCAAAAATACCTAACCTGATTTTAATTATGAGGANTGTCAGAGGCCGGGACCACTTCCCCGCCGCCATCCTCATCCCCTGCAGGGTCAAGCCGCAGAGCGCAGCAGGGAGGCGGCACTGCCGGAGGACTCACCCGCTCTCCCGAGCCCTGCCCCGGAGGCTCCCGGCCCCGGCTCTGTCCGTCAGTCCCGGAGCCTCGGCTGCGGGTGAGGCGACAGAAACCAGCTCAGCTCCGCCGCGAGCCTCGGCACCGCCCCTCGGCTCCTCCCCCAAGGCGGGGCCTGAGCTCGCGGGAAGTGGGTGGGCGCGCTCCGCCTAAAGGGTCCGGGCGCTCTGGGGTGGGAGCCCCTCCTTTGAGCAACTCGAAATTGAAGCAAGTTGGGATGCGGCCAAGCTTGGGAATAGTTTTCCTTATGGTCTTCTCCCCATCCCCGCTCCCCACCATGGAAACGGGGAAGCCCAGGACTGTACTTTTGCTCCCAATTGATGGAAGTGTCGACATCGTGAAGTCCAGAAGAGGACTAGTACCTACCCGAGGCCACACAGAATTAGTACAGTGCCAGGAATTCAAGTCTCCTACCTTGAGGGCCTGCTCAGCTTGAGTCTGAAGGCTTCCTAGGACATCAAGGAGACTGGCCAGGCCTTGCGCTGGGGACAGGTCTATGGGAACAGGTCCCCCAGCTGGGGGTTGGACGAGAGCTGAAGCTAGACATGGGAGCATGGGCGCCGTGGGCTGCAGCATGAACTTGCATCATTTCCTTTTTCTGGAACGAAAGGAGGTGAAGTGAAGGAGGAAGGAAGTGGTCGCACCTAAGCTGACGTCGGCCACTGTTTGCGATGTGCAGGATCTACAAGGAGGCTGCCTCCCTGAGATGTCATGCTAAAAATGAAACACAAAGCCAAACACCCAGTGGCTTCTAGCATCAAATTCAAGCCTCTTTACTGGGCTGAAGACCCCTGCACTCTGAGCGCCATCTTTTCTTTACAGGACAAGAGATTTAACTATCTTAAGGTTGTTGTTGAGGAGACCCTACTCCCCACCCCTACCCGCTCAGGAAGAGGAGAGAAAGTTAACAGACAAAGGGGAAAAATCCATCCCAAAACATTCTCTGGAATCCACACTCTCTGAACACTGGCTTTAAAACAATGGAGTTCTCTTCTCCACAAAGGGCCTTGTTTCCTGAGCTTTCTCGGCCTCCAGCTTAGAGCCCTAGGACCAGCCAGTGGGGCGCAGACAAGGTTTAAGTTTGGGGGATTTAAGGGGTGGTACATAGTTAATTCAAGTCCCAGTAGTACTGTTTGAAGAACTCCCCTGGGTCGTTACTCCCTAGCAATGTTCTTCTGAGGCCACAGCTTAGGGATTTTCTGTTTGCTAAGGAAACGCAGTAACCTACGTGGGGAAGTGAAAACCTCTAGTTGAGCTTATTCCAGGCCGCTCAAATCCTCTGAAAGCCCCCCCGCCAATTCTCCTCCTGGCTCCCTCTCAGTTCATTAATAATCCAGTTGTGAATGACACTGTTTCAGTCAGAGCAATTAGAGAGCAGAGCAGGTGGGGAAGACTTAAAGTGATGTTTAAAAAACCCAAGGGGAACACTGTTCTCCACAGAACGTTTCCATTGATTTATCATGAAGAGCTGTGGGCTGAGAGGGTGGGAATCCATCTCTCCAAGGCAGGAATCTGTGATCCCGACATGAAGCCTTGAGGATGGGCCCACATCCCATGCTGCGCTGTTCATTCATGTCGCTTACAGTGTGTGACTACAGAAGTTCAAGTACGCTCAGAATAGGGTGGAGGACTCACACTTCCTGGTTTCAAAACTTACTACAAAGCTATCAAGACAGTGTGGTATGGGTGTAAGGGTAGACACATAGATCAGTGGAATAAAACTGAGAATCTAGCTATAAACCCTTACATTTGTAACCAACTGGTTTTCAACAAGTGTGACAACACAATCTAATAGGGAAAGAATAGTCTTTTCCACAAATAGTGCTAGGACAACTAGATTTCCATATGTGAAAGAATAAAGATAGACCCCTACCTCACAGCATATACAAAAATTAACTCAAAATGGATCCGGCTGAACTGAAAGAAATAAAACTATAAAATTCACAGAAGAAACCATAGGTGTAAGTCATGACTTCAGATCAAGTAAAGCTTTCTTAGATATGGCACCTAAAGCAAAAGCAACAAAGGAAAAAAATAGATCAGTTGGACTTCATTAAAATAAAGAAAACATAAAAATAAAACACCTTGTGCTTCAAAAGATGCCATCAAAAAAGTGAAAAGATAACTTTTGGGCTGAATTGTGTGCCCCCAAAATTCACATGTTGAAGTCCCAACCCCCAGTACTTCAAAATATAACTGTATTTGGAGATAAGGTCTTTAAAAACATGATTAAGTGCAACTGAGGCCCTTAGGATGGGGCCCTAATGCAATATGACTAGTGTCTTCATGAGAAAGAGACACCAGGGATGAGCATACGAGGAAAGACTTTGTGAAGACACAAGGAGAAGACACCATCTACACGTAAAAGGAGAGAGGCCTCTGGAGAAGCCAAATCTGCAGACACGTTGATCTCCAGAACTGTGAGAAATAAATCTCTGTTATTTAGGCCTCTCAGTTTGTGGTATTTTGTTATGGCAGCCTCAGAAAACAAATACAGTAACCCACAGAATGGGAGGAAATATTTGCAAACCATATATCTGATAAGGGATTTGTAACTAGAATATATAAGAAACTCTTACAATGCAATTTTTAAAAAGGCAATTCAATTTTTAAAATGGACAAAGAATCTGAATTAGACATTTCTCCAAAGAAGATATACAAATGGCCATTAAGTACATGAGAAAATACTCAACATCATTAGCCATCAAGGAAATGCAATGTGGTTTTGATTTCAAAACCACAATGAGATACACTTTCAAACTCACTAAGATGGCTATAATAAAAAAGACAGGTAATAACAAGTGTTGGCAAGGATGTGGAGAAATCAGAAAACTCATACATTGCTGGTGGAAATGTAAAATGCCGTACCTACTTTCAAAAACAGTCTGTCAGTTCCTCAAAATGTTAAACATAGAGTTACCAGATGACTCAGAAATTTCACTCCTAGGTATAGACAGACCCAAGAGAAATAAAAATATGCATCCACACAAATTTGTACACAACTGTTCGTGGTAGCATAATTCATAATAGCCAAAAAGTGGAAACAACCCAAATGTCAGTCAAATGATGCATGAATAAAATGTGGTACATTCCATACAACGCAACATTATTTAGCAATCAAAAGGAATGAAGTG